ACCCAAACCCAAACCCAAACCCAAACCCAAACCCAAACCCAAACCCAAACCCAAACCCAACCCAAACCCAAACCCAAACCCAAACCCAAACCCAAACCCAAACCCAAACCCAAACCCAAACCCAACCCAAACCCAAACCCAAACCCAAACCCAAACCCAAACCCAAACCCAAACCCAAACCCAAACCCAAACCCAAACCCAAACCCAAACCCAAACCCAAACCCAAACCCAAACCCAAACCCAAACCCAAACCCAAACCCAAACCCAAACCCAAACCCAAACCCAAACCCAAACCCAAACCCAAACCCAAACCCAAACCCAAACCCAAACCCAAACCCAAACCCAAACCCAAACCCAAACCCAAACCCAAACCCAAACCCAAACCCAAACCCAAACCCAAACCCAAACCCAAACCCAGAACTAAAAATAGAATTCTTCTAAACCCAACGTTCAAACCCTAGCCCAAAATTATAAACTTATTCAAATATCATAAAATTTTATATCATTCGACTGCAAATGATGAGTAGAACAACATGTTATATTTAGTTTTTCAATTTATAAAATATTAACTTTGTAAATAATTTCAGATTAAAATTGTTAAAATGAAACCATAGGAAGAATGATAATTTCAAAATCTTTTAATGAGATTATATAGTTTATATCATCATTAACAATATTCATAATCACTCTCATATGAAATTTCAAAAGTTCAAGTCTGTAGATATAAAAGTATAGAGAGAAAAGGGAAGATGTGAGGTAAAAGAGGTCAACTATAACTTTTGAGTTTCTCATCTAAACATATTGAATCCTGATATGAAAATGTTCCATTTGATGAGTAAACATCGAATATCAAATTTATTTTAACTTTCATATTTAAAGATTTCTTCCCTCAACCACACATGGTCAACTAGGTATGAAAAGGATAAAATCTTGAAAAAGAACCATTATTGAAACTTTACCAACATGATGTAGATGATCTACAATGATGTAGAATTCAATTTCATATCATAAGAATCAGAAATGGTACCGTAGGAAGATAATGGTTGACTTTATAAGGTTGACTTTAAGGAAATACAAGTCAGACCAAGTCTATCAAATACATCACTTCAATCAACAAAATATATATGAAAATGCTCCATTCGATGTGTAGAGATAGAATATCAAGTTTATTTTAACTTTCATATTCAATATTTCATCCCTTTCATACCAACTAGTCAACTG